AAAATTTATTTTCGAATGTTATATCTATGTATAAATACCCTATATATATGTAAACATAGGATATATACATATGGTTATAACATTCGAAATTATAGTCTATATATGCATATATTTGTATCTATATCTATTTATATCTATACACGCACACACATATATATATATATATATATATATATAATCTATAGTGTTACATATATACTTGATAATGTTATATCTATATGTATATATATATATATTATTGTGAATGTTATACCTATATGTATATTTATCCTATATAGAAATATATTGATGTGAATCGATGAAGAATGCAGCATCTGCATCAGGCGTTACCTGTGCGACCTCAGAGAAGGGCATCAATGATGCACTCGAAAATCAAGAAACTAACCCTTTAACCCTAAAAATACAATTAATTCGTCGAGTCCAAATTGAAATATATAAATAAAGCTAAATAGAAAATGCCTTCTAAAAAGTCAAAAACAACCTGATGTATTTACATATTATTATTTTGTTTTGTAAACATTTCTTTTTCCATTTCTGTAAATAATTGTTTTTCCTTCAAGAAATCAAAATAGTGATGACCTCGAGGCTAAGCTCAATGCGTTAAAAGTTACAACTTTTATTATGCCTCGAATAAACATTAAAGTTGCAACTTTTATATCGCGATAGTACACTTTCATATATGATAGGTGCATTTTACAGGTCACTCAGGTGACAGTCGTCACAACTGAAACGCACAATCTCCTTTGACTGCCTATTATCAATTTCGTAGCCTAAAATTTTCAACGACAGGACAGCTTATTGAGTGCAGTTTCAAAAAAAACTATAGTTGATTTGTCCTAAATAAAAGTTATAACTTTTAAAAATCAAAAAGTTATCATTAAAGTTGAAACTTATATTCCGTACCCCTATAACTTATTAAGCTCAGCCTCGAGGCTTGTGGGAGTTGGGAACATTGAATATTCAGAAGTATTTAAAAAAATAGAATGCTATCGCGGAGAGCTCGTAGGACACACAAATTGATATGTATATAAATATGGTAATAAATAATTCTGACCAGACAGTTCAGACTCCAGAGTTCACCAGATATTTCTATATATACTACATATCATACTGATATAAATTCATATTTAAAAAAAAATATAATAGCCTTCTGCAGTACATATGTACAATCTATATATTTTTTGGATTCCGACTTCCGAGTTTCCGACTGAAAGCAGTGAAGTAAAAGCCTGTTTTTTTCTCAAATGCTAATTTTCTATTATTGACTGTGTATTATTCAAAAAAAGGTAAATATACATTAATACAAAGTACAAAGGTTTGCCTCAATTATTGAAAGAAGACAAAATACTTTCATTTGGCGTAGCAGGAGAATTAATAGATCACGAATCAATGTTAGGTATAAAATAATTTAAAACCTATTTCCCCGGCATCCGATCGTCCATTTTCGAGGCTTCATCCCTGTCAGGATATTCATCTATTGTTAGTCACAGCGCTAGTATGTCCATTTTGATCACTATAGACATCAAACTGTTGACCTAGTACGATACTTACATGTATTATCGTCGATACGAGCTTCAGTAGTGGATATAAAAGGCTCTCGTTTGATTGACAACAGCGCTACTCAATTGTACGCTATAATGGAAATCAATTCGTTATTAAATTCACATTATTTAAAAACTTGTCAAAATTACGTTGTAAGTTATTCGGCTGTAGTAACTTAGGATTTTTGTGTGCAAATTGACATCCACCAAATGTTCATGAGTTTTCTGTTCTGACTTCTTTTAACTCGTAAGTACCGCGCAATGTCCTGCGTATTTAGACTAAACCCTAAAACCCTTGGTTTTGGCTCTACCCTTTTCCATTCAAATCTATTTTTCAACAAATCAATCGATATCGTCATTGTCATCATAGCCGTTGTGTTCATTTTGTCCGTGTCACACAATATAATACTTTTTTATTCATATGTATAATAATCTTTATTCGAGTATCTATCCTCACTTAGAACTCATTGGAATTTGGATTCTCCTCGCAACTGCGTTTTTATAGCAGAAGGGCATTGTGACTAGTCCTTGCCTGGGCTGGTTTGAGGTCGCGACATGTCGCCACAACAAACGAGTACACGACCTTCGCGAATTGTTACTGCTACCATTGCCACTGGAACTGCCACCATTGCCACTGGAACTGCCACCCCACGTACTCGTGCAACTGCAAGCAAGTTCGTTAAGACAAAGAACAATGAATCAATTTTAATAATATGGGGTTTTATAATAAGGAAAGGCAAAGTTCAAATGATTAAACGACTAGTTTCAAATAAAATATTTACGTACCAGTTGGATGCTAAGCATTTCCTTTGTGACCAATTGTAGCTGCACGAGTTTGAATATCGGCAGCATTTTTTGTTCTCAGACAACTCCTCGCCCTTTCCGCAATTGATGTTGCGGTCCCTGCAACGCAGATCATAGCCACCACCAGCATTCACGGCTGCAATAGCCATAAGAGCAACTACGAGGAGGAGTAAAAGTTTACGTGAGGCAAACATGTTGTGCGAGTATCTGATTGAGGTTGTTTGATTTAATTTCTAGCATCAACTGTGAATTGTGGCTATCATATTAAGTTAGGGGCGCTATTTATACGCCGAAATCTCAGGTTTGGTCGGGTACATGCATGTGTGCGACAAGCAACGGTAACAAGCCATACGCAAGCTAACGATCAAACCGAAATGTTGTGACCTAAGAGTGTACTGGTTAACTAATACAAACGGTGCAGTAAATGGACAATCTATGCGATGGACCAAATATGCACGTACCCATTTTTTTCTTCTTTACTTTATAAATATTGCCTTTTTTAAAATGTCTGTATGATTTTATTCACCGGATATTGCTCATTCTAATTCCTCTACTGATATTCACTTTTCGTACTATGTACTCTAAAGACTAGTAGTGATCAATAAACAGTTGGCTAGAGTCAAGAGTCAGAGTGACTATATACAAGTCTACTATATATAACCAAGCAATCTTGAATTCGGATATCTTCATTCCACTGGCCATAGATTCAGACTGTCAGACTGAACTGATAAACGACACGTCGCGACCAACTTGTCGCACTAAATATATTCAAACGACATATCGCGACCTAAGGCCAATGGTGTAAATACTTTTTCTCTCTGGGACAGTCGAATTTTTGTCAATATAAATGGAAAAAACTAGAAAGCCATAATAGGAATTATATAGTTTAGAATGAGAAAGTGATTTGAATCTCGCACCTAATCCTTCAGAATGGATCAAAATACACTCCCCAAAAATGTTGAAAAAATCAGTGTGGGCTAGCGGACATTTGTCATTTAGACGACATGTCGCGACGGCCTTGTCTCACTATATATATTCCGACGA